CAAAAGACAATATAAGAGACAGCCTCAGACACACATAACCTCAATCGGTAACATATTTATCAGATTCTCCAAAAACTGAGGCAGTTAAAGTTAAGCGGAGACTGATTCTACCAGAGGCCATAGGACAAATAGCTATAGCCAATCACAACCTTCTTCAGGGGCGTCACTGGATTGCGGCATCGTGCGTTCATTCTGGGCTGCTTATTTCTAGCTATGAGATATAGGCGAGAGTGGTCTCGAAAAGCCAAAGCAAAGCGTTGAGAGCTGTCTGTCTGTTTATCTGGGTCGTGTCACACGTCTACTTATATAGAAGAACAAGTAATATGTAATGAATGGGGCGATCAAGCTAAACTGTTATGTTACCTCTGCTTGGCGCGAAGTGGTGTATGAAACACCCACATGTATATTGATGGAATCCCTTTCTCTTTTTCTTATTTCAACAACTCTTACTCATTACCACTTCATGAGGCTAACATAATTCGATTGTCATGGTATCTAGATCAACACTATACAGCGTATTAAAGTGGTGGCAAATCAAATGCGTCTATAATTCAAAGTGGACATAGACAGGGGAATCTCGAACGTACATGTTGCCGTTTCACGAGTGTTGTTCAGCTCATTAGGTTCCTACAGCTTGTATGAGCTGTGTCTACAGGATGTCTCGAGACTCTTATCTATTGTCGTGAGTGAGCAAGTCCAGCTACAAAAGGAGCATAAGTACCACACCGCCTGTCATGATTGTTGGCGCAAAAGAGTTTCAAGTATAAATTAGGGGCTTATCGAAGATGTTACTACGGTGCGCCGTTACGACGTGGCTAAGGGACTAAATCATGCTCGAGATTAGGTGAACTCTGTCTGTCTTATTTCCCTTGCTTGATTATAGCAGAAAAGCTGTTTATTCAGCAATCCCGTAGATTAGTTCATTGGACTAGGTTCTCTACTTCCTGTCTGGATACCGTTGTAGTGTGCTTTTCTTTTCTTTTCTTTTTCCTTTTGTCACCAGAGTTGGGGATTGGTATGACCCCAATGTTACTATTTGTGAGCCTCCCTGAGATGTTTGTTTGCATGTATGAAAAAATATCGCGTAGCTGCAGAATCTTCCCGGGGGTATCTGCAGGTGTGAACCAGATTGTTCCCAAATGGAACTTGCCGCGGGGTGAAGCTATGTACACACTTACAGTAAGAGGTACTACATAACTGGGTAGGTAGTAAATTAATGATTACAAGGGATCTATTACTGTATGCATAGTAGGCAGGTGAAGTGTGCCTATTCGTCACTGCTGTAATACCGGTGCTCACGACTGGGAATAAGATCGAAAGAGTATCGATCATCGAAATGGAACATAATTCTATTTATAATCGTCACACCGGTATTCTGGTCCTTGCCTTGTGGCACGATGGTAGTTGGAGAACCTGGTTGATTTTTGGTATACAGTAATTGCGGCAATTGTTTTAGGGTATGATGTCTTTTCTCCGAGTACATTAGAGTGGTTATATTGTATTGCAGAGCTTTTAAAATATACTAGTAATGTAATTTCGCGGGTGGAAACGATATAAGTATCGGCAAAGACCACTGTTTGAATGATCTACTATAGACCGAAATCATGAGCTTGGCTGGGCTTATCTCATCTCTGTCTCCTCGGGATTAAAGAAACAAACAAAACAAAACAAATTCAACGACACAACACCTGCCATATAGGGAAGAGAACGGGGCAACACTGAGTCAAGGTGTTTGGTTTGTTTGTTGGTTCACGACTCTAAAATAGATTTGCCCCGCATACGCCCACGAAATCTCGGGTTCCCGGGACACTGCCGGGGATTTTCTGGGCAATGATGATATGCCATGCTGTCTTTGGTGTTACTTACGAGTTTGATGTGCTACGTGAATACATAAATAGGAAGCTGTTCTGCTATTGCGGTGTGCGATACTGCATGCTTGGCGGTAGTCCATCGGATGTATTCATTAGTACCTCAGTGAGAGAGAATCACAGCCACGCAGCAGCATAAGCTCTTTGCGGTGAGAGGAAAAGTGAATTCATACTTAGTATATTACATTAATTGCACAACGACAACCCTGGCTCGGGCGCAGGGTGATAGATGCAAGTAATCCTCAACGGGGGGTGGGGTGAGGGAGATCAGCATTGATTCTAACTGTAAGTTGTACGTAGATGTAGGTAATATGGTGTCATTTTCGCAAACATCGTGTAGACGATGCCATTTTCATCCAAAAGTACATGTCATGTCGCACTGTCCAACGTTGAAGGTCAAGTACCTACAGCCGAATCTCTATTCCTGTCCAATAACTGTGCCTGCACATACTTTCCGGTACTAGGGCGGTGCAACTCGGAAAATGTCAATCATCATGTACGACATTATTTCTAGGCACATCCTCCCATTGATGTTTACTGGTGTGCCGAGATGCGCTATGCAGATCCGGTGCTTCGATCTACGGCTCGGGAGGTATATACACGTGTTGATTGCAGGAGCGGAGAGGTACTGAATACCTCGTGAAGTATACGTAACGTGGGGTACCTAATGCAGTACTTTACTCTTTGACTCTCGATCTTGTCATCTGCTTGTCGTACACGGTACTGTAGGTTGATATTCACCCGTGGGCATAGGCAGCTAGGCATCATGTACTGGTATCTAATAGTAGGTACCTAAGGTAGGTATGCTTTCTGTACTATATTTATAGGTGGTATTTCTTTGCTATCGACCCCAATGTCTGACAGCCCGCAGGTAGCATAGCTCCCCAAGCGAGCCCAAGCTCCCATTGCATTTGTTCTACATCAATCACACCATGCATGAGGTATCTTTCCTTCGATCGAAAATGTTCTAAGAAATCCTAATTTTCCCTTACATAGACCTACATATGTACGTGCTACATAACACTTATTTTCCATTAATGATAGGTATTTTCATACATTGTCAGACTAGACCCATAAATAATTGGCTGTTGCTTGCATACCCCTCACCTTGACGTCGGCCAGGTACCCGATACCTACGTCGTAGTACCGAAATACATAGGGCACGAGGTAGCGAAACGTGGTCCGCGTGGGTATAAGTAGAAGGACGCTAAACATCCCACCTCCCATCGACCTCATCGGTACTGGACTACTTATTTACTCCCGCATTCCCCTCCCCCGGAAACTTTATCAACAATCCATACCTTCACCTCACCTCAACTCACCTTACCTCCATACTCAAATCAGACTTCAGTCGCAAGCCAATTCTTCACAATGGGTGTCAACAAGACCGTCATCAAGGAAGGCTCCGGTGCCATTCCCCAGACCGGCCAGACCGTCACTATCGAGTACACCGGCTGGCTCAAGGACACCAGCAAGCCCGATAACAAGGGCAACCAGTGAGTGCTATTCGGTCAATTGAGCATACTCCCCGATTCGAACCGAAGCTACCCCGCCATCCACCCCTCCAATCAACCATCCATTTAATCACCTATCTATCCATTCCGATCACCAACACCAACACCATACAATCACTGCAGCCATCATTCCAAGGAGACCATTCCTCCGTGCCTGTTGTGTATCTGCTGTGTCACGTTAAATCCCTCTCGCCACTTTAAACTACTCGCAGGTTTACTAATCTTTCACCCCGCAAACAATAGGTTCGACTCTTCCGTCGGTAGGGGCGACTTTGTCACTCGAATTGGTGTTGGCCAAGTTATCAAAGGTAGGATTTATGGCAGCAATCTTGGACGAGCTCTGACTAATGCTTTGGATGTCTAGGCTGGGATGAGGGTGTTACTCAGATGAAGGTGGGAGAGAAGGCCACCTTGGACATCTCCAGGTATGAACGATCCCTCGTGAAAATGGCATCAATGTGCCAGCAGCTAACATAACTATTTCCCAGTGACTTCGGCTACGGTGCTCGGTACGTCTGAATACCCACAACCTATTAGTTCTATCAACGACATTATCTGCACCGACATTGCATTCACACTACGCCGTCTATGTCACAACTTGCCACAGGGAGTGTGTCCGTCATGGAAAATCGATTGGCTAACGAATTCAAACAGTGGTTTCACAGGTCACATCCCCCCCAACGCTGACCTGATCTTGTAAGTTATTTCCCGAGGGAGCATGTCATGGTATACGGAACTAACCACCCGGACGTTTAGCGATGTCGAACTGAAGGGAGTCAACTAGACACGTCGTTGATGTGCTGCTGCCGACTTCGGAATTCTCAACATTACCGGCGCATAGCATTTCCGGACCGCGAAATGTTTTCAACATGGTCATGGAAACATGACACTATAGTCTAAATCAATAAAAAAAAGTCAGTTGGTATGGGTCTCTGCCTCGAAGGCAGCATACAAACTTTGGTATCAACCACCATTCGCAGTCCTACTTGCATAATCTGTGATGCCGCATGAACATTTTGACCTCGTAATACTCTGGTTGAGATCCCCACGTCGTAGATATCTCGCCATTCACTACATTCATTGGCGCCTGGCTTGTCTTTTATACACCAAATCCAGTCGGATTCAAGGTAGAGTAGCGCACGGATCTCTCGAATCTCATAATGTGGCTCATGTGGTCAAACCAACTCGAATACTGTCACCACGACATGTATGCGAGCATACATACCTACATCACGTAGCAAGCATTCTCTAGCGGTGATCCAAACCAAGTACGGGCAATTTATCCTCTCCTGGCTCCTCAAAAGAACATGGGTTTGGTTTGTTTGCATGACAACTAAGAATCGACCAACCAGTCCTTAGTTCATCCGTGCCACTTGCATTCAAAATGTTCTTATTTCGTCAGGTCAAGGCACATACCTGCCTAGCAAGGGAACAATTGATCCGTATTCTTTTATGCCCCAGCTATGTGAGCACCCAGCCAGGTATAAAAGGGGGAACTCATATGAATAAGAGCATACATACATACATAATAAAAGATGCTCCTAGTAGCAATACAAGCTATATAGTGCCAATTTTGGTGCCTCTCGGATAATCCCAATACCGAAGGAGAGATTTTATTGGCTCAATGGTCTAGTGGTATGATTCCTGCTTCGGGCGCTACTCGAAGTTTAACCCTTCCATCACACATGGGAATGCAGGAGGCCCCGGGTTCGAATCCCGGTTGAGCCCATTTCTTTTGCTCCTCTCTGTTTTTTATCCCCCCCCTTTTCCCCGCCTCTCTCTCTCTCTCTTTTGCTTTCCAGCATTTTTGCTTTTATTTTTATTTTTGTATTTGTTTGTTTTGTTTTGTCTCTTATTTTATAATTGCAGTAAGCAACCCTTTTTCGGCATTCCTATCTGGGTGGTTGTTTATACTGTGATTTAAACCATTGAATATGAAGGGGATAAAGGGGTAGATAGGTAGGTAAAGTCTAGCACAGCAATACAAATGAAATCTCAACGCAGATACGTACCATATATATATACGTGTAATGAAAGGGTTAACTTTAAGTAGTCATTCAAATCTTTACTTCCTCTTCCGCCTAGACTAACTAACACTCGACTCATATACAGTGGCTTAACTGTCCGCCGGCACACTAAACAAACCTCCAGTTAATCTATCAGGGCCCTACTTTTCAAGTGGTAGGTAGATATGGAAATATCAGTGACTTTCAACTTTTGAATTCTCGAAATAAAAAGTGTTTCAGTTCATTCTGTGCTCATAACTTACATAGACTTATACGGCAGGCTGATCGCATGCTGAAATGCTGTCATGGGGATGCCTAAGAAATATTCAGCGGTAGTTAAAGAACGATGTTACGTGCCCAGTCACTCATTATCAGAGCTCAACAAAATGGCATCAAACAGTATGGGCAAAAGCAATGCATTACTACTTGTACTATCATGCTAGAGACGAATGCATTGGTGCTTACTAGATAAGCCCTACTCACTTGTGGCATCATTAATTCCGTAAAATCCTGTTTCCCAACTACAGTCGTTCAGGCATTGTCATCATTATCATCATCGTCATCGTCATTATCATCATCGTCATCGTCATCATCATCATCGTCATCTTCGTCGTCGTCGTCGTCGTCGTCGTCGGCCATGCTGTCTATCCTACAGTCAGCAAGCAGCGAACCTTTCACAGTGGCAAAACACGGCACAACTGGTTAACTTATCAAGAAAGGGTAACAAACCGTCATCGTCTTTATCGCGCCTAGAGGAGAACACCAATTCGTCCGTGATGTCTTTCACCGACTGAGCAAATGTGCTTCCTTTCCAGACCTTTACATGTTTGCATTTCGATTCCTTGAAAATGAAATCCCTTGGCGTGACAATTCCTGACGCCTGCCGTACGTGCGATAAACTGAGTTTTCTGAGTTGGAGGTCGGCTTCCGCCATGTCTCTGCATAGGCGGGCCAACATATTGGTATTTGTCTTAGTATCAGAGTAGAGCGTGGTCTTGTGGATGCCGACCTCCTCCAGACTAGACCTATATCTCTGGTATAAGCCAAGGAGCGTGGGCACCTTCACAATTGCCATCCCGATATCTATAGCCTTAAGCTTAGAGAATTTTGGTGCCGGCGGGTAAAGTGCGGGCAGAGAATCGGTGGCCTTGACAAACAAGGGAGTGTTAGTCTCTCATGAAAAAATGTCAATCAGGTAGCGAGGGTCTCACATTTGCTAATTCAAATGATTCCTCGGGCTTCGGCATCGCGACCGTGGGGTTTTCTCCAGTACCTGCTAACCATGATAGGAGCTTCTCAACGCGGTACATGTCGCATAACTGAAAATTCAACCGTAGGTGCTCGAGAGCTGGGACCTTGGTCAGAAACCTCGAAAGGAAATATCCAACCTCCCCAACTATTCTGGTTGCGTCGTCCTTGTGGTGAACCCACATCCAAGGCCGTTCATCACTTAGATGATCCAGGAAGATTGTAGTGAGCTTAGTTAATGCCAATGAAATGCCGGCGTCGAAGCGATTAGGTATCTTGAAAGCACTGTCTGCAAGTAGGCACGAATGTAGGAGGACCTCGATTCGAGTGAGCTTGGTATTCCCGCCAGCCACTAGATAGGGCAGGTGTTAGCGTTTTTCTGGACTGTCCCGGAGCGGTCAAGTAATGCGTCTATCAATTAAATTTGCCACAGGTATCCAGGCGGCAAACGGACAGATGTGCGTGAGGGCATTTACATACCTGCAGAATGTCCCATTGCTCTTAGAATCGTCTGGAAAACGTGGCACGTATATTCATGGCCACGCTGTCGCATGTGAGGGTTGGGAGTCCTCCTGGGTAGAGCCATCGTCCTACTCTGTATGCTTGCTAGGAGCGTGGGAATACCGTAGCTGTTCCAAACTCCGCCATCGCGACGACGAGTTGTCGAATGAAAGTCTCGCATGCCGACGGTCACGAGGTTGGGCAGATGTCCAAGGGCGTCGGACAGCATCTCGACGTCGTGGCCGGTGGAGATGAACTCGTCATGGTTGAAATACTCGGCTTGCATCCGGTTATATCGAACCCCCGTAGCAACGTCGTGTGCACCACCGTCCCCGAAGTGGAGGAGATCGGGGTGCTCCAGATGGATGATGAGATGAGTGAGACATGGGCCGAGGCGCGACTTTGCGATGTCAACGAGGACCCGGATGCTGCACTCCATCAGCGCGAACTGGCGCTTCGAGAAGAACTCTTCGGCAAAGGCGCCGAACAGCACGGCCTCGATCTGCCTGCATGTCCTGCGCAGACATCCGTACTCTGGCGTCGAGAGGTGCGAGGTGATCTGGAGGAGCACCTCGAGCGGGGCATGAAGAAGGAGGGCCATTGTTGGCGAGCACGAGGGGAAATGTATGGATGTGGCGCGTATAAATGTAGGTATTGTGTGTGTGTGTGTGTGTGTGTGTAAATGTGGTGAATGTGGTGAATATGGGGATGAGATCAATTGGAGGGCTGAGTGTGTAAATATCAATCAATATCTTGGTAGATATTTATGTATCCCAGGTGACGGGCATCCTACCTCGAGTACAGAATGTTGCCGTCGTTCGATTACTTACCTGACCTTGGCTCACGCAGGCAGCCGTCCTTATAGACGCCCATCAACGCGATTGTTGTGTCAAGGTGAGTAGGTACTTACTTAACCAAGGTCTACCTTGGTGGGTGCGTAGGTAGGTACTGCAGAATACTGAGTAGGTAGGTAGTGAGCTAGGTGACCTAGGCACCTACGGATGCCTAACAGGAGAACCAATAAGAGCAACGAGTTCACGTTCAGCCATGGTACTACATCTAATCTTGTCGGCGTGTGGATGTGGCTGGATGTAGCTGCTAAAACTCCGAATATCGGGTATACTGTAATGTAATTCTTGGTTGTGTATTACAGACTTGAGAACTGACAGCTCGGCCTTTAAAAGTGGGATAAAAGAAGAGACAAGGTTTGGTTGTAGCCGAAGGCATCTACTTAATGTACCTAACCTACCTCTAGGAGGTATGTAGGTGTATGGAGCTAAGGAAATAGCAGCAGGACCCTGCGTACCTACCCGTGTGAGTGCAGCTAGATTATAATCAGAGCGTGATGCAGGTACAGAGGTGGTTTCGTTTTCGCCTCATCATAAAACTGGTACGAGAAAAAAGATGTTGTATTAGGTAGTCCAGAGATATTAAGTCATAGAATCACAGAAATCTTCACCAGGCGAAAGCAAAGGGTATCGATTTTACATTGTTCAAGCCCTACTAGGTACACAACATGAGCACTCAGCTCCTCTCTCAAATAAGCTTTTCAATGTCCTTTGGCTCGGGATTGAGGCCCCCAATTTTCCCTAGGATTGCTCTGAAATCTGATCAGTCCCGGCTTAGATTTATCGCGGCCCAGTCGTTGATCAAATACAACTTCCAGTTTATCAACCTCATCATCTCCCTTTTCAGTACCGCCTAACCTCAGCAACCTGTACGCCGGGCTATTCTCTTTGATGTTCTCGGCTTTAATGGGCCTCTTCTGCCGCGTCCACTCCCTCATGATGTGCCATATGATAGACCACGGCGCATTCGTCTTCATGCTCCCTGCCTTGCAATGACTTCGGGTCACCTCGTAGCCGAGATGGCGGAGAGCCCCCCTGAAGCTATCCTCGTCTGGGCAGACGCAATGCATGGCACCTGCGAGATTGGTGGGATGGAAATAGAAAGGGTACGGCTCTATCGTCGCATATTCGTCCTCCTTATTCTCGGGGGAGGCATCCTCTGGCGGTGGGAGCGATTCTTCGAGTGCAGTGGTTAGCATGCCTTCTATCCGTGGCTTTGTGCCGTAGATATCGTCCGAAGCACTGGGCAAGTCACCCAGGATCTTCTTGATGAAGTCTGCCGAATGCAGGGGTCCCGCATACATGGGCCCGGCAAGGTGCATCTTCGAGCCACAATGTTTGCACTCTGAGTCAACGGCCGGGGCCAACGCAGAACCATGTTTGTAGTATGAGCCCTGACCTGATTTATTGATGGTTTTCTTGTTGCGGGCCAAAAGTTGGGTTTCCCATGCGCCGCATCCGTGGTCGCAGTTGTATACCAACATTGTCTTGCCTGCGAGAAACTTGACTTGCGCCGGAGATCGCCTGATTTTGACAAATATCCGGACATAGTAGTCAATAGATAAGCTGAGAAGCGGTTCAATAGCCAAGCCATATCGTGCGGCAGATGTGGCAATGGAGTGTAAAATCAGCCGCAGCCCGACTTCGTGGGAATAAGTACCCTTGACGGGAATCCCACCGTAGAGAGCGAATGCCTTCTCCGGATAACCATTCGAAGCCCATACGCCCGAGTCGGTACAGGTCACACATAGAAGGCCACCGTCGTCGCGGACCGCACTGACAGCAGCATCAAGAAATGGGGCTGCTGTTCCGTAGGGATCCAAGTCAATGACATTATATCTCTTCTCTTTGGATTTGTTTCGCTTGGGGTGCTTTGCCTTTTCGTGTTCGCGTGGAGCCTCGTCGGTCATGATAGAGTACATATGAGCTCGCGCATCACCCTGGTTGGCATTTACTTTGGACTCCACACCGTTATGCTCGGCATTGCGACGAATAGCCTCGACAGCGGAGGGGGTGAGGTCATTGGCAGTAACGGAGCTGACGAAGGGAAGCTCCTGGGCATATCGCAGAGCCCTTAGACCAGTCGCAGAGAGAGCATCGAGGATAGTGAAACTGGGAGCATGGG